GGGGGGGGGGGTGCGAGAGAGGTGTGGGTGCTGATGAATGGCTGGATGGATGGAAAGCATGGCTTCATTCACGCTGGATGTATGTGTGTACGTATGCGTGGTGGCCGTGCGTGTGCAATGTGACTCGCTATCGTCATGCATGTGGAGGGGAGTCTTGAGCGTGTCTGTGTGCTTCAGCCACTCGTGTAGAGACAGACACCGAAGCCGGCTGACTTGTGGCAGAGTGAATGAATGCGCCAAACATGACGTTTGAGGTACCACCTCTCGCGATAGGATTGTGTACACCGCTGCATTCGCGCCATGAGATGGCTGGTTGGTTGGTTGGTAGCGCCGGAAACGCAACCCGACATCTTCTCTATCTATAGCACACACCAAACAGGCAACGTGCACACGTAGAGTGCCTCCACAAGGCATACGCCAAAAGAATGGGAGAAATCTTGCGAGCTAAATCTCACCTGCGAGGGTCCTTCCGGACGGAAGAGGACCAAAACTACGTCCCTCGCCATGTCTGAAGAGCGTGAGGCTGCTGCAGTGAAGCTACAGTGCTTCTTCAGGGCCCTTCTTGCAAAGAAGGTCTACTTGGACCTCTTGTTGCGCAAAATGGAGGCTGAGGCTGCCCAGCAGCGAGAAATAGACCGGCTGAGGGACGAGCAGAGTACGAGAACACACAGCAAACTGGAACAAGCGGACGTGTGTTTGTGTGTGTGTGTGTGTGGTATTCTAGGCAAGGCATTGATACAGGCCCAAGAGGCAAAGCAGGCCATCGACGAGAAACTCGCCATCCGAAGGAACCTCAACATTTTGGTCAGTGAGCCTCAGTTACGAATTGGGGACCAGGAGAGTGACGGCAGTCAGTCTGTCTTGTGTCTTCTTGCTCAGCGCACCCATTCTGCGACATTCATCCAGCGTGCCTATCGTGACTACCGTCGTCGCCGCCACCGCCGCCATCAGCAGAGGCGCCGGCTGCCAACGCACACTCTCGCGGGCCCGCCTCCCACCACAGCCGAGGAGCAGCCCGCATCGCCCCTTCCCACAGCCACGCCCCACACACGTCACAGCGGTAGTGACCTGTGGCAGGATGTCGAGCTCACAGACGAGCAGAGTGGCGGCACTGGGGCTGGCCGCCACGAGCCAACCACCACCAGCACCACAGGCGGCAGCAGCATTAGGCAGCGCCAGCCTGTCCGGCCATCATCCTCACCGGCAAGGGCTGTGGGTTTGTCCCGTGACGATGTGGGGCTGACGCGAGAAGCACTGCAGGAGCTGCCACAAGAGACTCTGAGAGAAAAGGCTGCCGACATCCAGGTACGTGCTTCGGGCAGGCAGGCAGACTGACTGACTGACACGCACTGCACACACCAACTGTCCGTGTGTGTGTCTGCAGCTTGAGACCATAATGAGGGCGCGGGAGCTGGCGTGTGAGTTTGAAGAGAGGTCTGAGCTCATGTGCGAGAACAGCACACTCCGCCAACACATACAAAACACTATCAACCACTTGCGGGACAGACGGGCGTCCGCCATCTGATCCACTGATTGATTTATTGACTGCGCTTTGGTTGCTTCATCGGTCATCCGGCTGGGGTGGGGTGGGGTGGGGATGGGATGCATGTGCATGCTCGTGTGCATCCGTGTTGATAGACAGACAGACTCACTTCCTTTGTGAGCCCCACTGCAGACTTCGTAAACTGGTCGATGCGAGCTTTGGCAAAGGAAATAGCAAGAGATGCCGTCGATGGACAGAGCCGAGACTGCAATAGATGACTTGGATGACCGAGGCCAGTCGTATCTCAAAGCCTCAAGCGACGAACGTACAAGTCAAGAGGGCGGCAACTGCCGTAAGCAGAGAATGAGATCTCGGACCGCAGCAGCTTCCCAAGGGCCAAGAAACGACCACACCGCTGCCAATCGAGATGCCTATGACGATGGCAGCAGCAACAAGTGGCGTGTGCCTCGGCCGCGTTATATGATGATGTGTGTGGTGATGTTGGTGAGCTGGGTGTGGCCGCGGGTGGCGTGTGGGAGCGACGGGAGCGATGAGGGCGGCGGCGGGAGCAGGAGTCAGCACCTGCATGTGTACGACCCCAACGAGGTGGTGACTGTGTGGACCGACAAGATGGGCCCCTACCACAACCCTCACGAGACCTACCCCTACGAAAACCTCCCCATCTGCGAACTGCAGGACGCTGGTGGCATCAGAAAAGAGCCTACAATCGGTACACATACACATACACACACACACAGGCAGACAGATCGACCGACTGACTGACCGAGATGTGTGTCCATGTGTTTATTCATTGGCCAGGTGAGGCGCTCGAGGGCCACAACTTCATCAGCTCGCCGAGAATCAACATCAAATTCTCAGGTAGGCTGCCCAGCTTCATTCACTCACCGACTCACTGTCTGCCTCGGTTGTGTGTTGGTCCATCCATCGATGCGTCCGTCGGTCAGTTGGTCAGCCCAGCACTGACGTGTGCTCCATGAAGCTCAACGAAGAACAGGCAGAGGAGCTGGCAAGTGAACACATTCGACACATCCAGACAAACAGGCTGGCAGGGCAGGGTGCCTTACTGTTTGTTGTGTGTGTCGTATAGGTCCGCATGGTGGAGGAGAACTACTGGTACCAGATATACATCGACGACCTGCCGAACTGGGGCTTCCTCGGAGGTAGGTCAACAACAACGCGGGAGCACAGCTTCCCGCCTGTTGGTTGAGTGCGTGTGTCCTTCCTGCCTGCCTGCCTCCGTTGGTTGGTTCAGAGATGGTTGAGCCCGATGAGGGCAAGGAGGGTGCGGATGAGAAGGATGACGATGAGGGGGCTGCCCCCAGTGTGCCTTCCATATTCACTCACAGGGAATTCGTCATCTACAGAAACGGACCACAGGTGGGTGGGTGCCGCAGACCAGACCCCCACCAGCATCTCATCGCATCCATGGAGGAAGGAAGGGGTCATTCATATGTGTATCGATCGTATCGTTTGTCCATATATCGGACAGATCATATCAGTGGACATGGAGCCGTCCGATCTGGTGCCCATCAAGGCCGGTGCGGAGCTCAAGTTCACCTACTCGGTCGAGTGGCACGAGACAGACGTACCCTTCAAAAACAGATTCGAGAAGTACCTGGAATTCTCCTTCTTCGAACACAAAGTTTGCCACGGCCTAGCACACACGTGTACCCAGGCAGTCAGGCAGCACATGGATGGCATATCGCTTGTTGTGGGTTCATTCAGGTTCACTGGTTCAGCATAGTCAACAGTTTCATGCTGTGTCTGTTCCTCTGCGCCATCGTGTCGGTCATTCTGGCACGAGTACTTCGCAGAGACTTCGCAAAGTGATCTAGCCCAAATACGCAGCCAGACAGCTCCCTCACAAAGACGCTGATGTGCTCTCTGTCTGTGTGTGTGTTGTAGGTATGCAGCGTCAGAGGCTGACGAGCTTGAGAGCATGGACAGGGCAGACGAGAGCGGGTGGAAGCAGGTCCACGGGGATGTCTTCAGGAAACCCTCACACCTACTCACCTTCTCAGTACACATCCACACACACACACACATAATGGGGCCTGGACGATTGGTGGGTGTATGTGCTTTAATTGCTGTGCCCTGCCGTGTGTGTGCGTGTGTGTAGGTGTTGTACAGCAGCGGCTGCCACTTGATGACCATGATAGTGGGTGTGATCCTGCTGGCCATCGCCAACTCATACTACACGAGGGCGGGGTCCTCATCCTCGGCAGCCGTGCTTGTCTATATCGTCACACAGTCGGTCGGCGGATACGCTGGGGGATACACATTCAAGTCAGTGCGACAGACGCAGCAGCTCGAATATATGTCATTCATGTCATGAGGCGTGTGTGACATTGATTGCTTCAGGTTGTATGGCGGGAAGGGCTGGAAGAAGGCCATGTTCGCGCAGGTGCTCTTCATACCTTCAGGTGAATGCCCGTCTGGCTACTGACACAGATAAGAGACACGAGGCGACCTGCGTGGCGTGTGTGTTGTGTGTGTCCCGCCAGTCGTGTTGGTGATATTCGCCTTCCTCAACACCACCGCCCTCGTATACACATCCAGCATGGCCGTACCTGCAAAAAACATCGCAACGGGTACACACACAGACAGACAGACATCCTGCCATGGGTTTTGTGCTCACCGCGGATACATCCATTCTGTGCTGTACGGATGGATTGGATGCCTCGGTGCAGTGGTACTGTTGTTTCTGGTGCTGTGCATCCCTCTGCACACGGTGGGCACTCTGTTGGGCCGCCGGCACGCCAGCAAGGCGGCTTTCCCGTGCCGCATACACCACCTGAAGCGACCCATACCACCCAAACACTGGGCATTCCTGTGCGTGACGTGACAATGACACTAACATACCCACATGCACACACAGAGTCCTCGATACATCCGTTATTGTGTGTGGATTCATTGCGTTTCGTTCCAGGCCGTGCATGATCAGTGGTGCTGGTCTGATCCCATTCGGATGTGTATTTATCGAGGTACCTCCACACACACACACATATACACATACATATACATATACACACATGGCTGCACCATCCTGTCTGCAGATGTATTTCCTGTTCTCGTCTTTCTGGGGCTACAAGTTCTACTATGTACGCTCACACGCACGCAGCACACAGACACACATCGCACCTGTGTGTACATGTTCGGTTGTGTGTGTAGGTGTACGGCTTTATGCTGGCGATACTGCTGCTCTTCAGCTGTGTGCTGGTAGGTGGGCCGTTTGCTGCACCGCCAGGCTGGCAAGACAGACAGACACATGAGGATGGCCTTTGTGTGGTGTGTGTGCAGGTGTGTGTGAGCATAACGTCTGTGTACATCCTCCTGAATGCGGAGGACTACAGATGGGCTTGGTAGGTCGACACAGTGACTGATATGGGGCGGGAGGGACAACACCAGCACACAGGCGAGACACGCCGGCGTGCTGGCCGGTTTGTTGTTTGTTTCAGGGTGTCGTTTCTGTCGTGTGCGTCTACCGGCGTGTATGTGTTCCTCTACTCTATCTACTACTACCACAACTCAACCAAAATGAGAGGTACACACACAGACACACACACGCCGAGCTCCAGCATCGGAACTCCACAAACACACGTGTCTGGTTTCTCTCTGTGGTGTCTTCCTCCGTCCCTCGCTCCCTCTGTCCATCTGTCTGTCAGGTTTTCTACAGTTCATGTATTACTTTGGGTCGACGGCGTTTTTCTGCTTCTGCCTGTCCCTGTTCTGCGGATCACTCGGATACCTCGGGTGAGTACAGTACGGGGGCAATCCAATGCATTCGATACCTGAAGGCAGGGCCGCGCGTGTGTGAATGGTTTGTGTGTGTGTTGTCTGGTGACTGACAGGGCCTTCCGATTCGTTTCGCTCATCTACAAGAACATCAAGGCCGAGTGAGGGAGTGAGGAATGTGGCCGGGCAGCCGGCCATCGATGGGGGGAGAAAGGACACAGCCGTTGAGGTGGATAGAGGCGGTACGGGACCGTCTGCCGACCCGCGATGGACGATGGCCGCGGCGCAATTCAGGGTATGTAGACGGGTGTGTGGTGCAAGGACGCAATTAAATGCGTATGTATGTGAGGGACACTCTTATGCACACATACGTGTTCTCACACTGCATGTTCAATTCATGATATGGTCGTCCCCTTGACCAGCCAACCAAACCGTGTCACACCAGACAGACAGACAAACAGACCCCAAATATCCATCCATCCATCTGTACGTGTGGCTTGTCTGACGTGTCGGCACACAGACAGGCGTGATGCATGGCAGCAAACAGTCGGCAGAATATAAAATGTAGGCAACGATTAGTTAGCCAGCGAAATCGCAGGCAGGCAGTCGGCCTTCGACAACCAGCTCTCTTCAACTCCACCACGCTAGGCAGTCACATCCATCCACCAACTCATATGTGCGTGTGTGTATGTGTTGTGTGGGTGTGTGTTGGCGGGCACCGCACCCACTCAGCGGCGCCGCCGGTGGTTGGCAGAACGGGTATCCGTTGTACTTCCGGATGGATGGATCTTGACCATGAACGTCGATCGCTCACTTTGGATTTGTTTGGATTCAACTTCGATGTCATGGTATTCCAACGTCTCTTGGCCATCACTTGAGCTCTCAGCGCTGTCTTCGGGCTCCTGGAGCAGGGATACGCGCATATACAGTCATGGAGTCGATTGTTTGTTTCACCGGCGAATATACCTGTGTCGTGGCTGTGGGGTGGGGTGGGCTGGCGGCTTAGGCTTGGTCGCCGTCGACCTGGCCGCCTTCCTCTCCAGCTCAGCGGTGCTTGGGGGCGGGGGCGGGCGGTGGACAGGGATTCGCGACCGGTGTGGTGGTCTTGGGGTTGGAGCGACTGCTGGCGGCTGGCGGCAGGGTGCCTGGTGTCCGCTCTCCCACCGAGAACAGGGCGCGCCGCTGGAATCGTCATCGGACTGGTCGTTGGCAGCGGACAGGTCCTCGCCGAGGTTACGCAAGAGCACCCGCAATTCGCCCTCCACCTGCAAACACACACACACACACACACACATGCTCTGGATGGAGGATGGGTGGATGGATTGTCTGGCTGATAGATGCATGCATACAGACATACATCAGTGTGTGTGCTGTCGTGTCAGTCTTGCTTTAAACGGCCCTGCTCCAGTCGTAGGCAGCGTTCATGATGCACATGAGCTCCACGGGCGCGGCGCGTCAAGGGACGTGAAGCGCTTGACGAGAGCACTCATCGCACACCACATGTCCCTGCCAGTGTCCATGAGACACGGACCCTACACAATGAGAGACACACATACACACATGGGCAGTGTGTGTGTATGTATGCGTGTCTGTCTGTCCGACTTACGTCTGTTCCCTTGTCATCCACCTGCAGCGCCCGAGTCCTTCCCTCTTGTGTATGCGGGTCCCTCTTGTCTATGCGATGACATGGGAACGGGAGCAGGCAAAGGCTGAACAGGGAGGGAGGGAGGGAGGGAGGCAGCCACACATTATCACTGGTCGATCGTATCGAGTCATCTGAGATGGCTTACATCCTCTCCGAGGCTGCTATCGAATCCGCCCCTTGAACGCACAGCAGCACCAACCATCGACGCACGCAAGTACAGCGTGTAAGTTCTCTCTTCCACACGGTGCCAGGCGGCGCTTAGCAGATCTCTCGGTCTCTCGGTGGCCGCCGAAGCGGCCAATTATGCGTAGACAGATAGACGAAAGATGAGAGACATGAGCACATTCATGATTACCTCCTTCGTGTCTGTCTCACTTACGTACCTGTGGGGCCGCCGGGGCGTCAATGCGGTCTATGTGCAGCGCCCGGGAGTTGAGTATAATGGGCCAAGAGATATAGAATGTAGACAGCCATCGGTCTGCACCACGCGCCACCTCTGCATTCAGTCTACCCGTACGGCAGAGAGAACGTTGAGGACACAGGAAGAACAACGAACATTCATCCTGACACCCTGCTGCTCTCTTACCATTTCTGGCTCCGAATCTGTCTTTCTTGCTCAGGAGCTGGGCGTCCTTCTTGCTCAGGTCGGTCACATACTGCAAGCAACAAACAGACACATGTATGTATGTGTAATGTGAGTGTTCCGCCCGCATGTCTACCTGCCCGCGTACTCCCAGATCGGCCATGATGCCGGACTCCTGGGAGTTCGAGTGGTCGGGTACTTTCAGTTGCTCTATGGCCGGCCAATGGATGGCGAGTATGGCACCGATGACGTCGTCCTCGCTCCTGGTCGTCCTTGAGATGCCCTTCGAGAGCCTCCAGCTGCTCCAAGAGGACCAACTCAACCTGCGGACCACACACATATATAGACAGACAGACAGACAGACAGAAACAGGTGCATGTACACCCTCGCGCACATGGCGCGTGCCGTGCCGTGCCGCTCCTGCGCACCGTTGCGATCACCCCGAGTTGCTTGAACGACTCCGTGCCCTCCTGCTTGGATGAGGTAGCGGCGCACGCACTTGGAGAGGATGCCGAGCTCGTTTGCCAGCCCCTTGAATCGAGTCGGCGGCCGCGCCCCCAATGTTCACCTCCTTCTTTGTGCGATTGGGTGCATAGCATTTCCCGAAAGCCCTCTCGTCCTCGTTGTCTGTGCTTTCCTCGTTGTCGGTGATGGCTGTCTCGTTGCCCGCTGTCATCGCACTGTCTGGCGGCGCACAGCCTACACACATTGACAGCGGTCATGTGTATTCGTGTGCATGTGTGTGTGTGCCTGTGCGGTTGGATGCCTACCTGGCATACGTATTGAGCGTTTCTCGACGATCGTGCTGGGGACGTCATTGGCTTTGTAGAACAGTATGTATGCGTTTGGTCCTGGTAGAAGTGAGCACACCCCAGGCAGAACAATTAGCTTATTATATGTGCACGGGTGTATAGATCAGCACTTGTTTAGTTCTCTCTGACCTTGCAGGGCGTCTGGGTTGATGGCATGTTCGATCTCCTCGTCGTTGAAATCCACCCACGTCGGATGGCCGCCCAAGGCTCTCTTGGCTTGTCTGTGGTGGTCATACAGACAGAGGAGGGATACAGAGACATGGATGATGAACACTGCCGTTTTATGTTGCCGCTTATTGTCGCTTACGCTGTGTAGTGTCCTTCGTCCAGGGTGCCCTCCTGACTGGTCACTGCGTAGAGCTCGTAGACGCGGGCAGTGGTGGGGTCCTCTGTATGCATGACACACAACACCAGAGAGATCCATGAGTGTGTGATGCGATGCCCCTCATGTCATGCAGGCACATACCGGATGCATCACACACGCCTGGGATGTCGCGCACACACAGGCCCTCCGAGGCGTCAAACGTGACGAAAGTGTCCAGCCGGTCGGACAGGCCTTCTCGCCGCTGGAAGCAATTAAGCGTCAGGATGAGGACCTCTGGCAGGCGCATGATGACTTTGCTGCCCCTGGCGTTGACGTGCCGCTGGCACGTGGGGCAGAACCACTGACCGATGGGCTGATAAGAACGTCAGACAACACACATGGTAAGAACTTGATGCGTTGTTGTCTTGTTGGTCGCTCGCTTACCCTCTCGGCGCAGTACTGTTCGAGCAGCTTCTTCACGCCGATTTCCTCTGTGTCGTCGGGCAGCGTCAGTGCGATACTCAGAAACTTCTCGAAATTGCGGGATACTGACCGACCGACCGACAGATGAGTACAAGCACATGTCCATGTACGGTTGGCTTGGTCCACTCACCGTGTGGGCAGTGGGTGCACTGCATGATGCTCATGATCTGGCCCGCGACCGTGTCGAATATGAGTGAGTCCCCTCTCGCTGGACGCCAGAAAACGCACAGACAGGACACAGACAGACAGATGGCATGAATCGACGGCGCCGATGAAACGGTTCGTCTCCTGAAGGCATATGGAAGAAAGAAAGAAACCGTCTAAGGTGTGCCGTATTGACACTCCACGCGCCCGAGGAAGTCCCCTGCATCCTCCTGCTAACGAGACAGACGACGCAGATCAATCGATCAATCAGAAGGCTAACTGCCTACCCACCTACCTGCAAGTTCTGGTATTGCCACTCACCCCCTTGCCTTCGAAGTCCCCGCTGCCTTCGAAGTCCCTCAACCTGTCTGCAAATTGACAATTGCAAGTTGAGCTCAGTGTGTACCTTTCCTTCGAAGATATATCTCGACGAATAAAAAAAGAAGGCAGCGATTTTGTGATCTCCGCTCAGAGAGAGAGAGAGAGAGAGATTCCAGGCAGGCAGGCAGATCGACCAATCAATCAACAAGACGCGCTGCTTGCGTGCCTTATTTACTTACGTGCAGGTCTCCGTGCACCAGTCGTTCACGCTGCAACTTCTGCAGTGCGTCCAGAACATCACGAGCGATGCGAGCCATCTGTCCTGGGCTAGCGGCACCACAGTCGAGGTCCTTGAGCATCACTGCACGCCACACAGACCAGCCACACGCAAAGACAGATCAACCAAACCAACATAGCGGGTGTGTGGGTGCCGTGGCTTGCTTAGTTACTGGGGATCCATTCCGTTTTGAATGCCCTTATTCTCTCCCCTGCCGCCCCTTTGAGGAGGTGGTACACGTCCTCGATGGCGATGACGTGCGGGAAGCCCTTCCTGGCCCGCTCGCACCGCGCCCGCCACTCGTCATTGCCCGTCCACATGAACCCGTCCACCTAAGCACACACAACACAGCACAACACAACACAATACAATACAATGCAATACTCACGCTCACATGAAATAGAGCAGAGCACGCATCGATGCGTGTGTTCGTTCGTTCATGCGCTCACTCACGCACGCCATACCACCACTTACCTCTTTGGCGCAGTCGTGGTTGTCGTTGAGTATCTTGATGCCCCGCCGGTCGCGCATGGCGACGACTACGCCAAAGCGGCCGCATCGCTGCCGCTCGCGGTGCTCGACCGTCAAGCCGTGGTTCTTCTCAAGGCAATGCTGCATTAATTGCATCATCACACACACAAATTGGCAACATAGGAACACGTGTCAATTGGCACACGTCACAATCAAGCCAGCATGTCTGCCATGCCGTGCTCCTCACCAGTGCGATAGCGACTCTGCGGTTGCGCTTGGCCGTCTGCTCAGAGCCACCTCCCTCGCCCTGCAGGAATTGCAGTCGGTCCATCAACCGACAAGCGCCGAAAGCGGCCGTGAGGAGCTATCGGTCATCATGACCCGGGTCCGAAGTTGTCACCGCGGTACTGATAGCCTGCGCACGTAAGTTGCCGACAGCACAGCAGGCTGTCTGGTGTTCGAATACTGAACTGACTGCTCTTGCATCATCTATATTCGCCCACCCTGTTGCTGCACTGGAGCCGGGTGTTGATGGCCTGGCACTGATGCCGGGTGTGGATATATGCCTGCATTCACGCACGACACGGGCACAACCAGCCTTCTCGCACCAATGCGGCCATCCTGCCCGCTGTCTTGTCGCCTGCTCACCCATGCCTGGTGGCATACCCATGCCTGTTGACATTCCGATGTGTGGGCACACATCAGCCGCAGGACAGAAGCGCGTCGCTTTGTGCGCATCCATCAGTGAGTGCTTGGCCTCACCTGGGTACACAGGTTGAGGGGCATAATGTGTCCTGAGCCCGAGCCTAAGCCGACAACGACACACACACAGGAATTCGTTGCAGGAGGCTGGAAGGGAGGAAATACATACGTGCCACCAGGAACCCGACCCGATTCCATGTACCGTGTTGATAGTGATGGCGCGGAGGCTGTCCACCTTCCATGAGTGTCACCGACCTTCCTCTTCACTCTCAGCCACACCAAAATGGGACAGGGACCTTCTGCGTATTTGACGCCTTCAGCTCGGCCAGCATTTCCTGACACGCAGACCAACCGTATGTGGGAGGAGTATTATCTGTCGTTCACCTACCTTAAGCTTGGCAATCTGCTCCGTCAGCTGTTTGGTCTGTTCTTCGATCATTTCCACCTTCTTGGGCTCTCGGCACGGGACAGGACCGCTGCTGCTGCTGCTGCTGCTGCTGCTGCTGCTGCTGCTGCTCGAGTCGATGGCCGCCAGCTGAAGGAAGGACAAGTACACACCAGATGCATGCGATAAAGGAAGCAGGCAGGCGGGAGCTCGAGGTTCTGTACTCGAGAGCGGAGCCTGTCCGCGATGGCCGTCAGTTTAGCGATCTCTGTGCGGTTGTTGTTGTTGTTGTTGTTGTTGTGTAGTGTCTGCAGAAGGGCTGTCTTGTCCTCCGAGTTGTCCTCGTCCGCCTACAGGCACCCAAACGCATGCATTCGCGAGTACGCATAGAAATGAATCCGCATCCCATTCAGGAGCATCACAAATGGCAGGAGCATCACAAATGGCAGTGCCTTGTCGCATGGCATGTGCACGCCTCACCATTGCGGTGCTGCATAGGGCGTGCGGTCCGTCACATAGAAAGAAAGAAGGTCTGCCGATTCTTCTCCGTTTTTATTTTTGAAAATATGGAGAATTTTCGTCTCCGTCTCTTTCTCGACATCATTTCCCTTTGCGGGTGGGAAAGGATGGCAAAGGATTGTGGGGAGCGATTCGTGCGATCCGCTCACCTCTAAGCTCGCACAAATGGCGGCCGTCAAAAGGAAACTTGAGGAGCAGATCTCGTCATTATCCCGACGTCTACCGCTTCGTGCGATGAGCAGCACCAGTGGCGTGTCGCCCTTTCACCACGCCGTGCCTGTTCATGATCTCGGAGCTGCGAGGGTGTTCTACGGCGACTTGCTGGGCTGCAGCGAAGGCAGAACCTCCCCAGGCAAATGGATTGACTACAACCTGTGAGCAATGCCGCAACAACACAGACGGGCCCTGTTGATTTCTACGAATCTCCGTCAGGTATGGCAGTCAGCTTGTTTGCCATTTTGTTGGTGAGAGCTACAGAGCGCCTGAATATGTCAACCCCGTCGGTATGCCCACCTGCACTGAAGTTGTTAGTGTCGCACACACACACTTGTGGTCGATTGATGCGCAAAGATGGCGATGAGGTGCCCGTCCCGCATTTCGGGTGTGCGCTGAGTGTCGATGAGTTCCATACTCTCGCGGCCAGGCTCAAAGAGAAGGGTGTCCGGTTCGTCATTGAACCACACCGGAGGTTCCAAGGGCAGCCAGGTGTGTGGCGCAGCCGATGGAGAGGAGAGGGCAGATGCCATACTGCCTCTATGTATGTCATTGTGTGTGGGTTGGCGCAAGGTGACCAGTGGACCATGTTCTTCAAAGACCCATCAAACAACGCGCTGGAATTCAAAGCCATGGTACCTGGATGGGTGCGTGGGTGGGAGGGATTGGTGGGGAGGCGAGTGTCATCTATCGTTGAGTGCTATGACTGCTCTGTCTGTCTCTGTGGGCGACGTTCAGGTGCATCCTGAGAATCTGTTTGCTAAGTACAATGTGGACGATTTCGCTGACAAGTGAAAATGCATAATCGTAGCGTGGTGTACAAGGGACGAGGGGCACGGACATGGTAGAGCCGCTGCGAGCTCGCCCGCGTTTTCTGAGGGTGAAGTTAACTGTCTGGAGTTAACGGTGAAGTTAACGAACTGTACGCTGTACGCTGTAGACCAACATACCGAAGCACTCCTTGCTTGGTTCCATTCCCTTCTGGCTGCACCCGCTCTTCCTTTCCTTCCCTTCCTTCTCCTCTCATCTGCGGGCTACGCTTTGCCAGCTTACACCCCCTACACGACTCTCGCACGAGCGCCTCCTCCCTCTGCCGTCCGCCAGGCCATCAGCCATGAAGACCTTGTGGCTCCTCGCTCTGGGCGTGCTTGCCTTGGCTGCCGCGCACCAAGCCGGCGGCGTGACGTCTGCGGATGACGCTCAAGTGGCTGACGCTGTGAGCGCTGAGGGTGGCCTGCGTGGGCTGACATACTAAACCACTGAGCATCATGGGAGTGACGCCGTGAGCGAGCAGAGGCGGTGTTTTAACCAACACGGCTGCAGCAGTGGCGAATATTGCCACTACGAAAACATGTGGGACGTGTCGGGCACATGTAAGCACTGACCACAGACACACACAGTCGATCGACGCCAGGCCGTGTGCCTCATTCAATGTGTCCGTCCATGTGTGTCGCTTTCAGGCAAGAGCAAGTGCTAGCCACTAGGCGTCCAATTCAGACAGACACTGCAAGTTGTGTGCCGCTGTTTGTTGATGTATGTGCATTCACACAGCTGCCTTGTGTGGCTTGTCGTTGCGTTGTGTGGCTTTACTGACAATCAGTGTGATCATCTGACGGTCCTCTGCTGTGTATTGGTTCATTGTATTTTCACCAAGAGAGAGAGAGGGGAGGGAGAAGCTGTGGTGTCCACACTCTTACACACATGGTGTAATCAGCTTTTTTTCTCACGATGCCGAAACGACTTTCTTCTGGCGCATTCGTTTCTGTCTGCCAAGTGCACACACACGGCACACATGTACTCTTCTATGTTCGTTCTGTGGCACTCCCTTGCGGCAATCGGTCCAGTCGGTCAGGCGGCTGTGTGCGTGTTGCGTTGTGTTTCGGTGTTTGCATGTGCCGCCGAAAAGGGGCGCGCTGCAATCCAAACCGATCTCGTACGACGTACGTGCAGCTAGGCTGGCCAGGGAATGGGGGGGGTGGGGGGGCAATCAATCCGTGCACTGTGTCAGCGAGCGATCCATCCATCATCAGTCGATTGCTGCATGCGATGGATCTATGGGTGGGGCGGGTGGGGGGGTGGCTCGGTCTATATGTCTTATATATTCTGGGGTACGTGTGCACCGGGACGGATAGATGGGATCACATTGGGGGGGTCGGGTGGGCTGAGACACCGAGGGACAATGCGGACATGAGAGACAGCACATAATATGAATGCCTTCACATCATGCCTTTGTGCGATGTGGCCATTGGTCGTTTGGATCTCCTCACTCATGCTACACACACATGAACCACGATGAAATTCTCTCACACACGCCATGTGTGCACTGACACGTCCAACAGCCATTGTCTCCAATCGACCTAGGACACTGACTTTGTTGCTGACAGTCGCATAGCATACGGGAAAGGAGTGAATTCCCATCGATCCCCACACTCAGAAGCGCATCTCTCTACCCTGTCTCCGGCTTTGTATGCCTCTCTCCATCTGCATGCAAGATCCACACAGATGGACACCTCCCTCTCGCGAAGACACGAACTAACAGAGACAGCGAGGGCGTGCACCTCGAGGCTTCTCGCCCACCCCACATGTGTGTCCTACATACAGATGTCGTCTCCCGATGGATAAGAAGTGACAGACATCCGGAAAAACTGCCGGCAGGATGATGAAATCATCAATCAAGAGACACGGACACAACACGTACACACGTCATGAGTAGGTAAGCAGCACAAGGAAGGGATGAGTGAGAATACGGCAGGCAGGCAGGCATGTAGCCAGGCAACCAGGTTCCCACGTGATCGATTTATCGAAGACGGTCGACGCGCAGCTTCCGTCGGTCCGGCTCTCCAAAATCTCTGTCTCCATCCCATCCGCCCCCACAGAGAGACACATCTCACAGGGCGCCGGGATGCATTTGTCAATGTCCGGGAAGACAGATAGGAGCTGCATGCATCCCACACGCACGGCACGGAGGCGTTTGTTTCATTAGTTTTTTGTGATGCTTGCCGTGTCTTTCGCACTGTCTGCGGCGCAGGCCTCAGAGCAAAATGGAATGCAATGTCGTCAAGTGATATCGATGGCCCATAGTGATGTATGTCATCGCTTCTTGAGTCGCGCATGTATTCACGCATGGAATGAAGGCAGTGGAGCAGCAGGTCTGCGTCATCATCCATCCATCCATCCGTCTAACTCACACGCACCGCACCTATCGATTCCCTCGTCGGCATACATGCCGTTCAACTCAGTCAACCGGTCCTTCCCTCTAAGTGTCCATCCATCCGTCCATCCATCCATCCATCCGTCTACTTCTGTGCCAGCGCTGATCTCGTGAATCGTCGGCTCTTGGCTGCCCGCCTGGCGGCAGCACTCGTCAGCTGCAGCGGGTCACCCTCCGCCCCCTGTGGCTCGTGGCGTGACACAATAGGCCCCCACTCCATCTCAGCCTTCTTCCACTGGTCGATCCATCTGAATGCCACAGTACCACCCTTGGCCACGGTGGGCGGCACACTGGCGCTGGCTGCACGGAGCCGCAGGGGCAGGGGGGGAGGGGGCGGGGGGGCGTACAGCTGCTGCAGCGGAGGGGTCGGCGCACTACTACCCGCCCGCTGCTGGAAGGTCGTCTGCGCCGGGCCTGGGAAGGGCGGCTGCTCGCCTTGGGTGTCGTCGCGTTGGTTGTCACTATCCGTGACGATGGTGGTGATGGTGGGCTTGGCAGGAGGGGGTGGCTCGCCCCTGCCACGGCGGCGTGAAGGGTCCCCGAGAGCGCCGAAGAACTCGGGTGGGACGATGGTGCGGAGCCGCTTGGGAGGGGGCGGGGCGTTGCCATTGTTGGCTGTGAGGGCCGCACGGGGGTCGTGGTGAAGGCTGACGTGCTCCTGAATGGAGGCAGGCAGCAGTGAGTCGACACCAACATATAAGTGTGTTGCTCATTCCTTCGATCGATCATGTCGTTCGCCATTTGCTGGCTTACCACTCGTTTGTCGTGTATCTGTTTCTTGATGGCAGCGAAGAGGGGCGTGGTCATCTCGTCGGGCAGATCCATATCCGTTACCAGGGACGCCACATGCAGCTGGGGACACGCAGTCACCACAGAAGAGAAAACACACACAGGGGAGGAGGAGTGAACCGCGCCCAACCATCGCTGTGTGTGCGGTGTGGGTGTAGGATGGGCATCGTGTGCTCTCACCCGCACGGCGTTGTCATCGTTGCACAGGTTCCATCGGAATCGGTCCTCAACGCTCAAATTCTGAACAAACACACGGACGCACCGTTGCGACCGCCACATGCGTGCAATCATTCCAGCTCAGCTGAATGCCCATCCCCTCCCCCGCACCGACCTTTTCGGGTAGCGGGACTTCGACCTCAATCTTGACGACCGGCCCATCGAGGGGGTAGCTTCCCGGCGGCAGCTCCTTGCGCCACACGGCGTCGATGAGGGCCCAGAAGCGGTCATTCATTGCCCGTGCGTCGGTCACCCGCTGTGTGAAGGTCTGCTTGAGCCTCTGCCGCATGCCCTCGTGCAGCCCATGCTCGCGGCAGAAGCTCTCGATGAAGGGCGCCACCAGGTGGTCGGTGTCGCCACCAGCACCCCCCACATCCCACAGTATCGACTCCTCGATGATCTCCCCAGACGGGCTCCGGGCAATGATCGGCAGCGGCACCAGACACGATGACGACCGCCGCTTCTTGTTGTTGCTGGTCTCACCGCCGCTGGCTGGCGTGGGTGGTTGGTGTTTGTCGGCGATGTCAAGCAGCTGATGCAGGGGAGGGCCGTGCGGCGGCGGTGACCGCAGCAACCCTGGGAGCAGAAGTGGTTGCATTCCACCGACTGGTTGCATCACTGACTGACTGATGATCTCAAGAGAAGCGGAAGCAGCGGCAAGGGATGATGAGCTGACGTCGAGTAGTTCAGGTGAGGAGCCTCCACTTCCCTTTCGCTCGATAAATCAGCACACCAGGACACACGAGATCTTGACGCCTGGAGATCTCGCCCGTCGGGAGAAACAGGCGTTCCGTTCGGCGCCTTCCACACCATAAGACACTTTCCCGCCCTAAGCTTCCGAGTTGGTCGCCGATGGGAAGCACACACACAGACAGCGCGGCGCTGCTGCTTCCTGTGCTCTGACTAAGGGTGAAGGCTCTCAAGCGAGTTTCGGCCGAGTACAACGCAACAAGTCGACTCCCACCAACGCTTCACGGTGGGCAGGAATGCATCGCACGAAGGACCACATCACGTCCACGTGCAGGTGGTTGTATCATGCCAGGGTGCAACGTTTCAATGGATCCTTCCCTGCATTTCAGTGCCCGAGTGTCATATATCGGAATGGGTGAGTGATTAATTCGTCGCCAGCTGCTCGGCTCATTCTGCAGCGGTAAGTAAGTGCTCAGCGAAGGAAGGTACATCCGGGCATTCTATATGCACGCATCTCTTTCGCTGGTCTGCAGGCGTTGGCGACGCGAGTTTAGCTCTGCAATGCAATCCAACCCACCGTCTGCCAGCTCGTCGGTGCCACCCCCTCGCCCTCCCCCTCCCCCTCCCCCTCCCCTAGCGCTCCCCAACAACCCCCGCCCTGCGACGCGGCCCTTAGCGCTCCACCGGTCGGTGTATGTGTGGGAGGATGAGTGCGACGAGATGGTGCAGCCGGCATCGCACACACAGCCAGTGCCGCCACAGCTACAGTACAGACCGCCCCGACCTCACCGCTCTGCAGAGGCCCACGGGGAACGACGCGATCTAGATGAACTCATGAGAAGGTGCGCCTACTCTCTCGCTCTCTCTCTCTCTCTCTCTCTCTCTCTCTGTCCACACACACACACACACACACGTACATCCAAGGCAACACAACACATGGATGGATGGATGATGGATGCCTTCCGTGTTTTGTTGTTCCTTTGGCAGTTTGGACGAGCTGGACGGCGGCCAGCCTTTCGGTGCGCCTGCAGCCCCCCTGCCGTTCATGAGTGAGCAGATGATGACGGTGAAGTTGGAGGCCTCAGCTGGCGTGACCAGCCCCCCCTACTCCCAATGGCTGCTCCCGCGAATCGACGAGGAGCCGCCACACCTGCCGCCACACCTGCCATTCCACCCACATCAGCACGCGGCTGCAAACGGCGGAGCGCAGCTTGAACCCCCACATGAGCAGCCTGCCGCTGCAGCCGCTGCTGGGAGTGACATGGTGGTGGATGGGCCACTGGAGGGCCAGAAGCAGCACCCGGCCGCATCTCGCGACACTCTCATCCTCAAGTCGGCTGGCTGTTTCGAAGTCAAGAGGTCGGTGACTGCACAGCCACAGCCGTCCAGCGCAGACGACGGGTCGCGCAGTGCAGCGGATAAGGCGGGTCCGGGTGATGGGGGAGATAGCGGGGCAGTGGGGGAGGTGGCGAGGTTTGTGGATGCGGCCGGCCGTTCGGTGGACCCAGGCATCGAGGACGTGTACGTGCCTCTGGTGCCCATGACCTCCCCAGCAGACGACAGCCATGCCAACACCGACCGTGGGGAGCGGCGTGAGGCGAGCGGGCACTACCTGTTCTGCAAGGAGTATCAGCAGGGGTGTGAGGGCTGCCCGGGATGCTACCTAGCACCCGGAGTGGGCGTAGGCGTGGGTGTGGATGTGGGAGCCGCCCACCCCCCCTACTGTCCATACCCATCAGTCAATAGCGAGAAGTCCCTCCCGTTGCTCAACCCACTGGTGGCACATCGGCTGTGGGCAGGGCCGGGGGGCGAGGGCGACGTCAGCTCATCCGACGAAGGCCGCAAGGACTCAGACATGCCGCCCCCCAGCCTCCTGCACGTGTGCCGCAACTTCCAGCAGCCCCCTCCACTCGCACACCCACATGGGCATGCCCCCCGGAAGCACAAGGCCCGTTCCAAGAGCGGCAAGCCGAAGGTCAAGCGCGAGATGGAGCTGGAGGACCCCGTAGAGATCAGTGGCGATCTGATCGAGGCCAAGGCGCGTCATGCAGCAGAAATGGCCCGGCGGCTGCAGGCGAGAGAGCACGACGAGAGTGCCCTTCTGATGGGTGCTGTCAAGGAGGAGGCAGTAGAGGGGGCGATGGGTGATAAGGGCAGGGCTGGGCAGCGCACACGGCGCAAGAGTAAGAGGGCAGTGGCCGAGGGGGACGAGTGGGCGGTGGAGGGAGGAGGACCAAACGCCATACAGCAGGTCAGCGATCACCCACAGGCAAACGAAAGGAAACACAGCCAGATGGATGCACATGTGTGTATGTGTGTTTGTGTGTGTTTGTCGCCTGTTCAGATGTATCATTCCCTGGGTCTGCACCGCAGCGAGACCACCGACACCTCTGCAGACCCTCTAGCCGACCACCATCAGCAGCAGGTGATAGCCTACGGCCGTCCCCCCCAGCCCCATGACCCCGCCGGCTGGCTGGCCGAGGGGGGCTGGGACGGCGGACCAGGGCTGGCCTACGGCCGAAACCGTTGGGGACTGGGAAAGGCCAGCAACAGTCTGTGTGGCGTGGGTGGGGGGGGCAAGGATCCCTTCCGCACGGACAGTGAGGGTGCATTGGTGCAGAAGAAGCCGAAGAAGCCGCGGGCCAAGATGAGCAGGGACGCATCGGGCATGAGATTCCAACTCGGTGGGTGATTGTTGCAAGGGGAAAGAAAGGCTCCTGCTGGAGGGTCGTGGGTAGGGGGGGTGCGATGGGTGTCTGGTGTCTGGTGTGTTGTGTTGGCACCAGGTGAGGCTGGTAGGAACGAGCTCAAGAGGAGGATTAGCCAGAAACTCAAGGAGGAACCCCACTGGAAGGCTATCATGTGAGCTGAGCGTATTACATGGCCGCACTGCAGCCATGACACACAGACAAAAGGACAATACTCATCCCGCTCTGTCTATGCCCGTGCGTGTGTGCGTGTTCAGTCCGACGGGTCAGATCAAGTTGGCGACCATCACCAAACTGCTAGAAATGGCTGAGGTGGGGAGGGATGGACCACACACAAAGAAAACCACACTCAGACAGACAGACAGACAGATGCTTTGCGTTGCGGTGCATGGCTGCATTCATTCTTCATGCATATATCTACTCATCCACTCATCCCCCCCTGCATACTGATCAGACGTTGGGTTTGACTGGTGAGGTGCATCGCATCTACTCGCGGCGCTGCAGGGAGACACAAGGACCCCCGCAGCCACCCAAGCCGCGCAGGCAAGGACTCCAACCACACGCACCGCCCAGACAGACGCACGGCCCTCACCGGCCACTTCTGTCTGATGGATGACACACGCACATTTGCTCTGCAGGTCCAGTAGGGACCGTGTGAAGTCCCCGTTGCTGCCGAGCAGCCAGGCGGCCCTGCATCCCCTGCACCCCCTGGTGTCGCTCCTCCAGTGTGACGACAACATATCCGATGACACCTCACAGCCGTCCATCGCCACCACCCTCCCCAAGCGACGCAAATTCGACATTACCGAGTGCATGGCCGCTGACATGGGCGATGAGATGGACGAACTGCAGCAGCCCATGGGTGGGGGGAAGGAGACGGCCGGGGCGGCACACAGCCAATTCCACTCCGCCAGCAAGGTGAGACTCATCAACGGGGGGGGAGGCGCTGATTGATTGATGGACTGACTGATGCACTGTTTGGTGTAGGATGAGGAGGATCCATATGGTGCGTACTACGCTGCCGGTGCCGCTGCAGCGGCTGCCGCATGTGGGGTGGCGCCGCCCCCCATGCCCCAGCCCATCCACCCCGACCCACGGCCGCTGATCTTCATCCCTCGGCGCAAGGACGTGGGCGGCACCAACATAGACCATGATGCCAAGGAGGGGACGGACAGCCACCAGCCACAGACAGCAGCGGCACCAGCAGCAGCAGCAGCGGCAGCTGATGGTGGTGGTGGTGGCGATGGGGGCGGCATGTGTGATGGGGATGGTGAGGGGATGGAGACGGCAGACGACCATGACAGCCACGGTGTGCCTGCAGAGCCGGCGGGGCCGCCCCCTGGGCTCTCGCAGGAGGGGAAGCAGTAGGCGGGCCGACAAGCGTCTCTCATGTACAGACAGACAGACAGGTGCGGAGGGCGGATGGCACTGGGTGGGACGGTGTGGGTCACTGAGAGACCTCTTGTGTGTGTCCCTTTCTTTGTGCAGGTGTGTGTGGGAGGGGCAGACCAATCGTCTCTCTTGTCTCTGGGTGGAATGAATGAATGGCTGCTGCATGGTGGATGAATGGATGGATGAATGAATGAATGAATGAATGGATGGGTGGGTGGATGGATGGATGGATCAAGAAGGAGAGGAGTGCCGGTCTGTCTGGCTGTCTGGCTGGCTGTCTGTCCATACATGTGTGTGTGTGGATGTGTGTCTGTGTGGTGGCTGTTTGACATAGCGAGAGGTAGACAAGACTCACTCAGGCCACGCACCACAATGAATCCATTAGCAGCAAAAACGGAAAACACCAAACTGAGGGAATGTTTCTTGGCATGCTGTCGTGGCGATGCAAAACTTGCAGAGATGCCTTCGGGGCATGCAGCGTGTGTCGCTGGTTTGCTCCTTAGTTAAGCCTCGCTACTCAAGCAACGCAATAAGTTTGCTTGTCGAAAAGCCTTCGGCGACTCACGCCAGCAGGGTTCAGGGTTTGAAGGGTTTGAAACCCTGAGCCCCAGAGCCTGAAACCTGAAACCCTAACCCCGCCACAAACCCTGAACCCTGAAACCCTAACCCCGCCACAAACCCTGAACCGTGAAACCCTAACCCCGCCACAAACCCATTCGCTTTCACAGAAGCATGAGCGACCAGCACGTCTGATCTGAGTCGAGGTGGCTGATCCCTGATCGCTTTTTCATATGGCATCTTCGGCTGCTGCGGCGCTGAGCGTGCTGTCATGCATCAGTGCATTCCTGCTGAGTGGTTTGGTCTTCGGCTGGCAGCCCATCCAGCTGCTGCTCATGCGAGAGGTCCATCAATCGCACGCGGGCCTGCAGGCAGATCGATGGCTCTGATCGATGACAGTGTGTTTCTGTGTGTGTGCTGTGTGTCGGTGGGGTGCGTGCAGGGCGTGTACGAAGACCTGTGCGACGAAGGCGTCATGGGCTGTCCAGCGCAGCTCAGAAAGTAAGAGCAGCGACGCAATCATCACTCAGACACCAAGGCCCTGCCGAGTGTTTTCGTTTCCTTTCAGGCTGTCGGAGATCTTCACTCTGGCTTCCTTTCTTGTCAGCCTGATTGCCTTGCCGGCGGGTCTGTTTCTGGATCGGTTTGGTCCCAGGCCCACGGTGGCCCTCAGCGGTGTCCTCATCATCGGGGGGCTGGTCCTCTTCGGTATCAGCGACTCGCAGCTGGACATGTTTTCCCTTGGCTATGCGCTGATGGGCGTCGGTGGCGTGCTGACCCAGTTCGCGGCCTTTCCTGTCAGTTTCCTTATCCCCGCCTATCAGTCACTCATTCTCGCAGGTGAGATATAGGCTGACGGAGGCGCAGTGCAGTGCACTCAGCACAGACACATGCAATGCAGCGGAGGAATGGTGTGCTCCTTTCCTGGCTGATCCCAGGAATCAACTGTTGCTTCGATGCGTCGTGCCTGGTGAGAGATCTACTGACTATAGGATCCGTGGGCACACACACATTGCAAGCAGCCGCATCCGCTCTCTCCCTGTCGTATGCATGGATGCAGGTGTTCCAGGTCTTCTTGAGCCTGCACGAGTGGACGGGCCTTCCCCGGAGAGTCATGTTCTTGAGCTACAGCGTCATCGCCTTCGCCATCCTCGCCCCGATTATCGTGCTCTGGACGCTGGTCGACCGCGCCAAATCCAGCAGCACCAGCGGCGGCAAGCTCAAAGTGGAAGACGAGCTCAACGGCTATGTGGCGTTGGGCGACACTGAAGCGGTACTGCTGGCCTACGATGTGCAGCATGAGATGCAGCAGCTGCACTCGGCCAAGGATGAGGAAGACCTCTCCGGCATGACGCTATACCAACAGTGAGCAAAGCAGGGATGGTAGTGAGATAGCGATGCGGTAGATGTCTTGTGTTGTCGATTCAGGTTTTGCAGCAGCGCGTTTTGGACGATTCTCGTTTACACGTGTCTGGGCATGCTGCGGACATCCCTCTACATCGCCTGTGTGGGCATAGTGCTCAACACATACGGCGATGCGGCGGGGGGCTACGTGTACATCAATCTCTTCGGCGTGCTGCTGCCCCTGGGCGTCTTCCTCGCTCCCGTCATCGGCTGGACTGTCGACTCCATCGGCTGTCTCAACACTCTTCAGCTGACTAATGCGCTGAGCGTTCTCAACTATGGCCTCAGTCTCGTCCCCTCGCTGCAAGTGCAAGCCGCCAACTTCATCGTCTTCACCACTTACAGGGCTTTCTTGTACGCCATGACGGCCACATTCAACGCGAAGGTGAGCGCCTGGGTGGCTGAGTGGCTGAGTGGCTGACGGACTGACCCTGGCTGCCTTTTTTGTTGTGATGTGCAGACGTTTGGTTTGGCGACGATGGGGCGTGTGATGGGTGTGTGCAACTGTGTGTCGGCCTTCACGATCCTTATCCAGCCCTACTTCATCTCAATGATCTTCAGCACCTTCAATGGACAGATCTTCGTCCCCTTCATGACCATCGTCATGGCAGGGGTCGCACTCGCCCTCGTCAACGAGGCATACAGATGGCATGTGCGCAGGTCAGCCACTCAGCCAGCAAGCCACTCACAAACAATTCATGGACATCCGACGTTGACACGTCTGTCTCTCCATTCCTTCGTTCAGTAAGCGACGCGGTCTGCGGGCGGCATCGCCGGGCGACAATCCTGTGTCGCTGGTGGCGCCGAGCCACATGGGAGTCGACGAGAGTGCCCTGCACCCACCACACGATGAGATGCTCGGATACCTTGGCAGATTCACGTGCAAGCGCACATCGAGCGGCTTCGACGAAGTGCCGTGGCACGACGGCGCCATGTCGATTGAGAGGCGGCTGAGCGTCACCTCCCCGATGGCACACTCGGTGAGGGCGAGGGGGCGGGGCAGCGAAGACTACACGTCTGACGTGGCTGTGAGGAGCGATGGGGAGACGGCAATGAGCACTGCTGCCAACACTGTGGTGATGTAGACGGCCAGGCAGGCAGGCAGGCGTGTGTATTGGCGTATGTCTTGATCGTGTGGGCGTTGAGTGTGGGTGGGCGGTTGGGTGTGAGGTGATTTTTGCACACACATGTGGATGTGTGGATGGATGGATGGATACGACGCACAGGAGGTACTTTTTACTTCGCTGTGTCCGGCGTTATGTATCATTCATGCAGTTTATTCAGTCAGTGTGTGTGGTAGTGTCGGTGTTTCTTTCTTCGTGGCTGTGGCTGTGGCTGGAGGATGGCCATCCATCTGTCGTGTAGGTGTGCTAAGGACAGCACTCGTTTGTTGATTGACTCTTTATGGGCAATCAATGTACGTACATGGTGTGCAGGGGTGGGTGGCCATTGTGTGGGGCAGCGCGGCGATGAGTGAGCCACTCATTCGGTCAGTGGCTGATGGATAAACATGGATTCATTGTCATGGGTGTCCTCAGTGAGTCTCTGGCCTTGCGAAGAGTGAACGATACGTTCCGGCCATCGCACGCAAACACTAGACAAAGAGTTGCACCTACCTACCCTTCCATCCATTGACACACCATTCCATTCCATTCGATCACGAATGCATCGGCGCATCCATCCATCTGCAGATGGATGGGTGCACAGAGGGTCTGTATACAACAGAGAGAGAAAGAGTTCCCTTCCTTCTCTTGTCCCATCACAGAAGCTACAGCGGCAGCGTCTACTCAAGAGCTCATGCAGCCCCCTTCACGCACCCTCATCATTTCTACATTCAGCCGCATCCACCCGTTTGTCTTGCCTCTCTCCCTTGGTGTTGTTTTCTCTCCAGCTACTGCTTTGCTCTACGCTACTCCCGCGGTGGCGGGTTACTTCTGTACAGAACGAGCCGATGTACGACGAACATAGCGGTCTAACGCTGGCGGGATGCGAGGCTGATCTTTCTCTTCTCTCCATCCTGCTCGAACTGGAGCTCGAAGAGGTCTGGGCTGTTGTACTGCTTCCAGAGGTCTTCAACCACTGTCTGTCGGACAGGCACTTGGGGGGGCCTTAGCGTCCTCCTTGATGTGTTGATGGCGGACACGAGCTCATTCCTGCAGGCCAGGGCCTCCCAAAAGACCCGCAGAATCGCGCCGATGCTGGCGCCATCTCGCGTACCGATCGTGAACGTTTAAGGTGCACACACCAGAGTCAAGACACATTGCGTCATGGCACGCTGTTGCTGTGGATATCGTGCCGTCCTCGTCATCTCACCATCTGTACTGGCTTCGCACCCCGCTTCTTCTCCCGGCCCCTCTGTGTTGCAGCACTCACCACAAATGCCGGCCCTATCCTCTTGCGTTTGGTGACCGAAACACCGAGTCGGCTGGTCCCTACTCTTGACGCAATGTCCTTCAGGATACCCTGCGCGATTCTGTGTACCTCATCTGGCGGATGGCGCTCGGTTGTCGTGTCGTCCGCTCGCAGCTCGACAGTCACATGAAGCGGTATTACCGGAAAGTGCGAGTGAGGCGGCTCATAGGCCATTTTGTTGGTTAATAAGACTCGTGTCTGTAGCCCATTTCGAGACTCGTGTCTGTAGCCCATTTTGTATCCAAGCTGGCTCCATCTTCTGCCAATCTTCTTCCTCCAGTGCCAGGTGCCGTCCATACCTCAGTCATATGTCAATGAATGAAACGCATAAAGGCAGGCAGGCAGGCAGGCTAGGCGTCCCTCACGCACTCACTGCTGCTTACAGCTGTCGGGATCCCCCGTGTGGTCCCTCGGCTGCCTTGCTGCCGCACCCTCACCCCCACTGTGCACGTACCCGCCGCCCTCCGCCCCTTCATGTGCCTCACTGGCGGCATCCTCGTTGACACCCAGCGCCTCTATGAGGCTCTGCACCTCGCTGTCGTGCACGTCGCCCTGCGCCAGCTTGCTCAGCACCGACGGCGTCAGCCGGCTGCTCTCCAAAGCTGAGCCGTCAAACCCAAAGAACCGTAGGAACTCCGCAAACCCCCGGGCATCTTCCTCTGTGAAGTTTGAAGGCTGGCTGCTGTGTGTGGATGGCCTGTGCGCCGCTGTAGGGTGCGGCTGGTGTGGGTGCGGGTGAGAGAGGTGGTCGAGAGCACCTGGCCCGCCGAGGTCTCGCATCACCTCCTCAGGTGGCTTGCCGAACTCCTGCAGCTGCACCAGCAGCTCCTGGATCCTCAGAGTCGTGGGCGAGGGGTCGGTCGATGAAGCTCCCGTGGTGCTGGTGGCCTTGCTCTCCTGTTCCTCCTGGTCGAAGAGGGCCACCACCTGCCGATAGATGGACACCTGCCGCTCGTAACGCCCCAGGTCCTCCTCAGATATCACTTGGTCGTCCGACCCGCCCTCGTCCCTCTTTTGCCTCTGGGCATCCAGCCATGGCTCGAATCGCGACAAGACCTGCCGCATGGGCTCATGCAGCACATCACGCGAGAATACGCCCTCCAGCAGCTCGTCCAATGCCTTCTCGAAATCGCCATCATTCAGCAGCCCGCCCCCCGACAGTGGCACGTCTGCTGCCGACTCTGGCCTCCTCTCCTCCTTGTCGAGCTGCTCCAGCTCCGCCTTCATGTGACCGAGCGCCGACTCGATGTTGGCAGCGATGCCGCTGCTGGCGGTATTACCGCTGCTGGGTGGGGGATCAGCACGCGGTGGCCGGTAGGGTGAGGAGGGGGCTGGCGACGTGCGGGCTGCTGACTCGTTGACGCGTGGCGGTGGTGTGGCAGCTGCGGGAGGGGGGGAAGAGGGGGAAGGTGGCTGCTTGGGAGGTGCGCTTGACGCCGATGCGGCTGAAGGTGGTGCATCTTGCTGCGGCCTTGGCTGTGCTGCGTCCGAGAGTTCCTCGAGGGTCTCCTTCAGAAGGTCATCCATGACGATGCAGACGACACCGTAGCGCAGCAATGATCAAAACCTTCCGCTCGTGCCTTCGTGGAAGGCGAGCCAAGGAGAGGCTGCGAGCTCAAATTGCAGATCTGCCGGATCTACGCAGGCCATGCGAGGGCCTGGCGAGGGGAGATGACGCAGGTCTTTCCTTGGCTGATTCTATTTTTCTCACTCAACATCTCAGCAGCTTTCAGGACAACAAGACACGGTGCCTTTCGCCACATGGAGGCGGCATTCACCCCGCCGCACAGCAGCGTCGTGTGCGGGAACATGCGGCCAACAAGATCCTCTGCTGCACTGCGTGCAAAGCGCCAGGGTGGACCCGCACCTGTGGAGCACAAGAGGCGGAGCGGGCAGAAGGGGGGCAACAAGCCGCAGACCAGTGCATCTCGGGCCAAGGAGGAGACTGGGGTGTTCACTTCTGACGAAATGCGCGATTTGAAAGACCTCCAGGCATGCAACGAGAGCACAGTGCGCAGGAGGCCGGACGGGATGATTGGTTCCGTTCTGTGTGTGTCCTGACTGCTTCAGGGTTCTCCCTCTCTGTGGGAAGCGACCCTTGAGGCGCGCAAGCAGTACCCACAGGTCGGCATGCACGGCACAAGACACTGTTAATGATCAAAGTCAGACCGTATGTGCGGTTGGTTTGTTGATCCATCAGCTGCCGCGTGAGGCAGCATTGCGCGAGTACCTCAAGGCAAGCAGGCCCACACAGCCGCCACAGGCACACGACGAAGTACCCGCCGTAACGCCCGTCAAGCGGCGAAGGAGAACCCCCAAGACACAGCAGCCCAGGCCGCTTCCTGCAGCAGCTGCAGCCACCAACCAGACGGCGGACCATTTGCATCTGCCGCTTGCTGCAAGGGAGAGGCCATCTGTAGCGGCTGGTGCTGTGGCAGCTGGCGAGCCCCCCGTGTCATCCTCACGTAATGGCAGCGATGTCTATCAGCAGCTCAATGTAGCTGACGGGTCGGTGTACATCCCGGGGCTCTCAGCACCCGACGGACAGGTACTGTCGAACACTCACAGACAATGCCATCCGTCTATCGTCCTGTCGACCATCCTCTCCCCCTTTGCGTGTGTGCGTGCAGGTGCCGTCGAGCACATCGTTATCCTGGGCGAGAGCCCCAGCGTCTGCCGGCAGCGGGGCCGCTGCTCTCCCCGTCCTTCGTCAACAGATTCCATCCTCCCCCCTGGCCCCTCCCATCAACACCACATGGGAGGCGGGCGCCACGCTGGCCACCATAATGGCACAGGGGTTCAAGACCATCACTGGGGGCGGCGACTTCGCCCGCCTCTACGCTTCCCTCGCCAACCTGCGGGCACTCACGAAAGAACAGACGCCGGTAGGAAGCCGCTCTGCCCACACACATGCAAAGATCCATGTGTGTGCATCCGTGTGTGTCCTCGGTGTTCTCATGCAGATGTATGGCCGCTACGCGGATCTGAGGGGCCTGGTGGTCCGTCTCAATCAGACGGTCCGTGACCGCAAGGTCCGCTACTCGCGGGAGGCCCTCGAGCGCCGACTGGCTTCCATCACATTGCCTGGCCTGAACGACGACTATGGCAGCAGCCTTGTAGGCCAGGAAGACCACAGCCAGAACCCGCTGGCCGCCGTGTCTGAGTGGCTGGAGGCCCTGCTGCGGCAGGAGGGGCCTACTGGGGCTGTCGAAGCCAACGTGACGCGGGCACTGCGTCTGCTGAATCGGCTGACGCCCCCTGAGCCGTCGGTGGGCGAGGCGGAACTGGTGCTGGAGGCCCTCGACGACATCACACACGCCGACAACGTCACGGTCCTCCGGGCCATGGCGGCACACTGGGGCATTGACAGTGGCGAGAGGGACGTGTGGGAGCTGATTGGTGACCCGCAGTTGAGATCCCGTCTGTGCGCCCCCCTCACGCCAGGCACACGGGACATTATCTCGGTCGTGGCGGACACACTGCAGCAGCTGGAGCCGGCGAGGGGGCTTGTCATCCCCCCTGAGATGGGCGACAACATGACGGAGAGCGAGGCGCTGCGGCTGGTGACTGAGGGCGGTACCTACACCGACACGTCTGGCCGCACCATCACCCTCAAGCCACTGCGGGACCTCAGCAGCAAGAGGCGGCGGCAGCGGCTGCTGCGCTATGGCCTCACGCACACACACGTAGAGGCGCGTGACGCCGATGACAGCACTGCGGAAGAGCTGGACAGTGACAGTGACGAGGAGATTGACAACAGCAGCAGCTCGGATGAGACGACAGCGAGGCGACGGGCGTCACCGCAAGAGGCCCGCGCCATGGACAGATACATTCGGTGAGAGGGCGAGCGCTCACACGCCCCACAGGTCTGTCAGATGACGGATATTTGCTTGTGTGTGTGTGTGTCAGGCTGGCCACGGTTGTTGACTTCCTGCACCCCCTGCTGATGCAGTGGATCGCCGAGACCGCCGCCTCCATCAGTGCCGATGGCGCCACACACGGCAACTTGCGCAACAGGAGTTTCCGAAGGTCACTCGAGAAGGCCCTGCAGCAGCGACAGGGCGGCCGGCTGGCCGACTACCTCAAGGTCATCGAACGAGGGGGCCAGGAGGCCATCGACCGATTCCTCCAGTGAGCATGCAGAGAGACAGCACAGACAGACACGCAGCAGCACACGACGCAGGCCAGATTAGATACGCAGTTTTTCGTGTTGGCTGCAGGGATGGGTTGAAGACCCTATTCTACCAAGTGAACCGGATCGTCCGTGTGAGCGGCCCCCTTGACACAGATGCTATCACACGGAGGGGCGAACTGCTCATGGTGGGTGGGTGAGGTGACTGACCTGACTGACACCCACATTGCTCTCTGCATGCTTCTGTCTGATCTGATTGTCTGTCTGTCTGTCTGTGTGCAGGAGGGATACGTGTTGCTGCAGCACATGGTTCGGGAGTACTCGTACCGTCAGGTGTGGACCTTCCAGTCCTACCTCGGCCTCCGCATGTTCGAGCGCCGCATCGTCGAGATGGGCTTCAACCTCTCACGCAAAATGATCCACGTCAGGGTACGGATTTCTATGGGTGTGAGGGAGTGGGGGGAGAGACGCCTCTGCCTGCCTGCCTGCCACTGCAAACAAAGTGACCTGGTACGGTGTGCCCGTGTCTGTCTGTTGTGCTGTGTGCAGTCTGGTGAGAGCCGGCGCATCAACGCCCTCTACGGCAAGATGGTCGAATACGAAGCACAGGTCAGTCAAGCCGGGCACAGGCACTCACAGCAGAGGCAGCCAGTAAGCCGTGTATGTGTGTTGGTCGGTTGGTCGATTCGTTCAGTTTGGCCGCCCGCCGATGGCCGACGAGTTGGCATCGTTGCTGGGGTGGTCGGTGGCCGAGGTCAACCGGGTCACGCAACTCAGACACAGACTCAAAAATGTAACCACAGACCACAGGCACAGACATACACCACACCCAGCCCGCCCTTAGATGGCACCTCGCGTCTCTGTCTGTCTGTCTGTCTGTCTGTCTGTCATGTGTGTGTGTGCAGATGCAGTCCCTTGAGGAGAAGAGCAGCATGTTTGGTGGCGGGGATGACGGCATCGGCGCCCCCGGCCCCACAGGCAGCTCAATCGACGTCGTGCCTGACGCACGGCTGGGCGAGTCTCAAGACGACCTGCACCACAGCGACAAACACAAGGACGCCGCAAGCGCCATGAGAGAGAGCTTCCGGCGTGCTGCCGAGCAGCAGGAGTACAGGCGGCTGCTGTCAGAGTGGCGGGTGGCATTTGCTGATGTCATGGACACGGCACAGATGGCCGACCCACTCAGCCGCGAGGCCATCGCGGCATACCTCTCCCACTCTGCAGCCACCGACAAACAGAAAGAGGTCAGTGAGCCGCCTGAAACCTCTCTTGTCTATCTGAGTGTGTGTGTGTGTGTGTCTGTGTGTGTATAGGTGCTGGAGCGCCATTACGGTCTGGGTGGCTCTCAGCGGCCGATGACGATATCAGAGATCGCCCGTCTGTTTGGACGGCACCACGCCGCCATCCAGAAGCACATCAAGAAGGGCACCGACGCCATACTCGACTTCGTCCTGCACCGACAGCCGTCCTTCTTCGCCTTTGTGGACGAGAGCGCCCTGCATGGTCCGGACGGCCATGTGGATGACATCGGGGCGTCGGTCATCTACAACGCGCATGTCAGGAGGGCGTCGCTGCTGGTCCAAGAGACCAATGAGACAAAGCTGAGAGACCAGCAGAGGGCTGTGGTGCTGACCTGAGTGACGGGCCAGGTTGTGTCAGTGCATTGGTTGTGGGTGCATTGTGCCACGCAATGCAATGCGTTTGTCGTATGCATGCGCGTCAGTCAGGCCTTTTGTTTGTACAGAGTCAGCGGACGGAAGGGACGTACGGACGAGGAGCTAGCCATGTGGGTGTATCATGAACAGACGGATGGATGGACGCAGTTTGGCCGATTGCGGCATGTGCATTGAGATAGTGCACCGTGTCAATAACATGATAGTCACACAAGGGGCGCACACAAAGAAGAAAGCGAGACGCGAAGGTAAGCTGGCGGGACGGAAAAATCTTGACCTAACCGTTCGGCCCTCACGAGTCTAGAATCGGGGGTAGATTCGATGCACAGCTTTATTCGATCCCCACTTTAGGAGCAATCATCCCGTGTCTCTTCCTTTACGCAGCAAACACAGATTCATTCATTCATTCAGTCAGTAAGTTAGAGGCACCCCCTTCTATGCAGACGCCCTGCCCGCACGGCAATTGGCGGCACAGCTTCGAAGACGGGCATATCCATCGCCGGCTCGTCGGTGTACCACCTCTCGAGCCCATCTCTCTCGAATATGCGCAGCTCCTGCGAGACACGAGCCACAAGTGACACAGAGAACACCCACGAGTATGTCTCCCTCTCTGTCACCCACCCACCTGTTCGACGGTCGGAATCATCACGAAGGGCTCCTGTTGCCAGGGGCCCCAAGGGAAAGGAGGACGGAACCACTCCATACCAGGGAGCCCCTGCCATGACGCCCCGGGGAAGGGGGGCGGCCCCTGCAGGCTGCGCGGCTGAAGATAACCCGGAAATCGAGGGCGTCCACGTGGCTCGTACGGTGACCTGGTGACGGCCACGTATGGGTCTCCTAGCTGCTCTGCCGTCGGTTCCTTGGTCTTTTCCTTGCCCTTTTTGGGTCCGCAGATTGGGCTGCAGGGGCTGCAACGACAGCTTGTAGCAGGTTTCTCACGGGGCTCCGGCTCTGGGGAGACGCGGGGCGGTGCGAATGGCAAGCGCATGACGGGCTCGGCTCGCCATTGGGCGTATCGTTCCGGTTCCAGGAAGGCCAGCTCGTCTTCGTTGTAGAGCTCGGCATAGATGGTGTCTGCTGTGTGTGCATACACTCGGCCGGTCGCTGGGTCGGTGTATTCGGCGAAGGGCAAAAAGGTGGGCGGGCCGGGCAGCGGCTTCTCGAGCACTGGGTCCCTGCTCCTTGTGGGGTAGTGCGCCTGCCGGCTGTACCCGAATGTGTACTCGGTCGCCGACGGATTCGTGGCAAAATTCATCGCAAAAAGCTGAGTCGCGCAACTGAAGTGAGACACAAGCGACCACCAGCCTCAGAGGCCTTACTGTCTGGTGGAGATCCCGTCCTCGTTACCTCTGCTGCTGTGTCTTCGTTGGAGGAAGGAATATCACACGATCAAAGCCATATATGCCGCCATCTTGACCGTCAGGGAATCCCAGATCTCCTTCACCACCATCGACATCAGCTGGCATCATTGCGCTGCTTCTGTCTGTCGTCTCCGATGCAAAAGCAGCAGCCCCTTCGCAGCTCTGGGCATCGATATGCTCACTCCTCGATGACAGGGGCTCAGCTACGGGGCCTGACACATTCCAGGGCGGTAAGGAAATGACGAGACAGGCGACACAAGGATGACTATGCCTTTTGCCGACCAGCTGCGCCGGGCTGCTCGTGTGCTGGTGTCCACACTGGGGGCACTCGGAGATCTGTGGACACCTAACAAGAAAGGATGGCATGCACGAGAACTTGGCGGCGTCCCAGAGTGACGTCAGATGTCTGCTCACGATATAGTCAGGTTCTGTGATCAGAAGGAGCGGGAAGAGCAAACGAATTGAGGTGATGCCTGTTCCACAATCGAATGTGGCCTACCCGAGCGCTCAGCTTGCGGCCCAACATAGGTGTGCTTGGACGTGTACTGCACACACATCGATGTGGTGGGGTGGTATGTGGGAAGCTCCGTTCCTCGCCCATCACCCTACCTTGCTCTTCTTGGAGTCCCCCCCCGTGGCGGCAGAGGAAGACGAGCTGCAGAACTCGGGCAGGGGAACCTTGGGTGCATCAGGAGGCTCCTCCCCCACTTCATGTGGCAGACCTGCATGGGGGACAAAAGTCGCAGTGGAAAGGCTGTTGGGGCGGAGCTCTTGCAGCCTACCTCTGTCCATGCCGGGGAGGGCAATATTTGGGAGGGCCTCGGAGGGGATTGAAGGGAGAGAATTGCCCCTCGGGGCCGGAAACCGTTTCACGGAGCTCTTGGCTTGCAGACCTGCTTTTCTTGGCATTTTCACGCGGCCCTGCGTTTCACGGAGCTCTTGGCTTGCAGACCTGCTTTTCTTGGCATTTTCACGACGGCAGGGCCGCGTGAAGTGTCTGTGAGCTGCACAAAGGCCTGCGGTGATGACATCGATCAAACACCCATGCCGCCGTCATCTGTCTGTAGTGACACCCTTCGGACGGATTGAGGTGCGAGAGGGGACGCAGGAGGGTCTGATGGCATCAGCACTGATAGCCTGTGTGCTTTCTGCATGTTTGTGGCAGATTCGGTGCTTTCCGGTGTCGTTGCGCTGTTGAGCGAAAGAGGAGGACAGCACTCCATCGTAGGCATCGGAGACCATCATGGGCTGCAGTGCAGCCAAGGTACGGGAAGCGAAAACAAGCCGCTCGGATGTTGACAGATCGATGAGGCGCCACACCTATGGACTCACTCATTTGATGTCCGTGATGTGTCTGTCGCGGGTGTGCAGATGTCGGGTGCTGCTGCTGGTGAAGGAGGTGGTGGTGGTGGATCTACGGCTAGCGAGCCATCTTCGTCGGCTGCGTCTGCCGCTAACTGTAACCAACACTTTCGCTGCAGAAAGGCACCACAATGCCGGCACACCTCTGTATCTGTGTGGCGTTTTGCAGGCGCGGTCAGCGCATCGTCGGCGAACCAGCACCAGCAGCAGCAGCAGCACATTAATGCCGCTGACGTGCCGCAAGATGTCGCACCGACGGTTGCCGAGTACGTCGGGAGCTACTCACAGCTGGAGGCGCTCATCGACGCCCACCCCACACAATTCACCGCCGCCCTCCTGCTGCCCATCCTCACCGAACTGCTGCCCCTCGTGGTGGCCTCGATCTTTGGCGCTTTGGTGGAGGTGCCCATCCCTCAGCTGACCCAGAGTGTGTCCATCATTGTGGCCATCACACGTTGGCTCTTCATCCTCGAGGGGGGCGGCAACTGGGCCAGATGGAAGCCTCACCTGGAGATGCTGTACTTGCTGAGGGGCAATAGGCCTGTGGTGCTGGGTGACGACAACTTCGGCGTGTTTGGCAGCCGGGCGGCCTTCATCGGCGAGGCAGAGGCGGTGCGGCAGTGGAAGATACTCAGCTGGGGGGTCATTGTCAGTTTTCGAAACCAGCTACAGCTGATGAACGGCAACACCATCCTTCGCTTTCACATTTGCCCTTACACCCCCACCCTCTTTGCCAGCCCCGTCTTCCCTCACGTACCATTCGACCCCACCGACCCGCCCACTAAGCTGAGCGGCTTGACGTACCCCAACTACACATCAATGGTGGCATTCGTCTTGTTCGGCTGGCTCTATTACGACAGCGACTTCCCTTGCATCAGGTCCTGGGTGTCTTGGCGTCGTGCCTCTGCTGCACGCCGGCGTGTCGTTGCAGTGCTGGCGGCCTCTCCCAGCGATGAGGCACAGTGGGGGGCGGGGGCGGCCGTGTTCGACAAGCGGCTCCCGGACGTGGACGGGGTGGTACGACATCATCGGCTAGTGGTGCTGGGCAGTGAGGCGGTGGGAAAGGGACGCCTGGCACTTATTTGGCTGAGCGATCACAAATTTCCCTCTGATGTGTCCGTGTACACGACCGAGTGGTTCCCCCACGACAAGACGCGCAATGCCGTGATGAGAATGCTTGGGGATCAGCTGGGGGGAAAGATGTGGCGGAAGGAGGATGAGGTGAACGAGGACAGGCAAGCCACGGCCTGCACTGTGATGTGATCGGGGCTTTGCCGATATGTCGATTTTCCCATGACAGAGGGATGGTTGGCGGTCAATAGGAGCGGAGACAGACAGACAGACAGACAGGCAGCGGGTTTTTCGTCGCTGCCCGTCTGCTTGCATGGTGCCTCTGTATGCGTTCCCCTGGCTGCATGCTGCGCATGTCTCTCTGGTGAGGCATGGCGTGACGTATGTCTGTGTTGATGGAACACGTGAATGAATGCGCCCCTTCGCCAGCTGCTGCCCCTGCCCAGTCGCTGAGGCGCACGCATGGCGAGATCTCGCCGCAGGAAGAAGTGTGAGACTTGATCTGTTCCATGCACATATGTGATTAGATCAGCCTTCTGTGTTGTTGCCCCACGTGGGCAGTCAGTGAGTGAGGTTGGCTGGCCAGTTGGTTGTCTGCGAGGGGGCGGGTGCCTTGTCATGTGGCCGGATGGATGGATGGATGTGTGGACACGACAATCGCATGGATGGATGGATGGACACCTGTGGACAGAGGGTGGTGTGGTGGTGTCATCCATCGGTCGACTGAAGCTCTGCGTGTCTTGCGATGAGAGAGCTGTGATTCAATCCAAGAAGCTGGCAGTCTGGTCAAAGAAGCTGGCTCCTGTGTTCAGCTGGCAAACGGCAGGTTTCTGGGTGGGAATGGCACTGAGATGGTCAAGCAACATGTGCTGAGGAAGAATCGGTCATTTGCAATGGAAAAGCTAAGAGTGGATTCGCTGCCTTTGTGCGGATCAGGGATATGCAATGTGTACAGCCGCTGGACTCGGATAACTTGAAGGCGTGTGCAAGTGTGGGCGTGTTCAGTGTGACTCATGAGCTGGTTGCAGAGATGCACGCATTTCATTCTCGCCCATGGACGAGCAGATACGAGCAGTCTTCTTTCCCATCCTACTTCTGTCTCTATGCGATCGCCACGCCACACACAACCAGCCCTCATTCTCGATAAAAGAAGGTACGCAAAAAC